TATTAAACAAAATATAAATTACTTCGTTATTGAACCTAAATTAAATTGTAATAAAAAATTAAATTAAAAAATTACACAAAAAATATAAATTTTAAATAGTTAATTTGATACTAATATCGATATATTTTTGTCAAATGTTTATGATATTTTCAAATTTATATTTTATTAAAAATGGCAAAATGCAGAAGATAGCAATCTACTTTCATTAATTTCTTTATTATAGCATTGTACTTTCAGTTTTTCTTATTACATCAATGTACTTTCAAACTATTTTTTATTAGGACATTGTACTTTAAAATTTTACCCATTATAGCATTGGATAACCTTTTGATTTAAATTTACCCATTATACTAGGTTTTCATGCCATCTTATTGTCCATGTAGGTTATCCACATGTACTATAGTGATGTGACTTTCTTACTATATCATTGTACTTTCAAAATTATTTTATCATAACAACTACTAGTTCTTATTAAATACTGTATTTTTTATTTTAATTTTTAGATATTTTACATGTTATTTAATAAATGAATTAAAAAAATTCTAAATTATTCATTGATATACCAATATCAATAAAACTAGTAGAATACAACTTATCTCGCTAATATTTTTAAAACAATATGTGTTTTTTTGAAAAAGAAGAAAATAATATTTGTTCTTTTTTTACCAAAAAATATTATCTTTTAAATAATATATTATATTTGTTCAAAAAAAAATTACTTGACGTATAAATTAATTAGATTTTTTTGAATTATTTATTAATATAACAATATTAAAAAATTGTAGATAATAATTTATTTCGTTAATATTTTAAAGAAAACTTTAAAAGAAATATATTTATTTGAACAACATAAAATAGAAAAAGTTACTTTTTTTACAAACAAAATATATCTCGAAAATAATGTTTCATATTTATTTAATAAATATTTTACTCTAAGAATATTTAATTTGAATGTAACTTAATAAAAAAAAGTAAAAAAATGTTTTTTTAGATCATAGCAATGAAAAATGAAAATCACTAATAATAATTTAAAATAGATTTTAATTTTAATTTTAGTTAAGTCATCAAAATGATGTGTCATCCACATCACCTTATGAAATCCATACAAGCAAAAAAGTCAAAGGGTTAACCGGTTTAAAAGGTAACAGGTTACCCATTGCTATTATGGGTAGATTTTTTAAAGTACAATGTCTTAATAAAAAATAATTTGAAAATAAATTGCTGYAATAAAGAAAAACAAAAGTAGAATGCTATAATAAATTTTTTTATAAAAGTAGATTGTTATTTCATGCATTTAACCATATTAAAAAATAAAAACATTATCGTTTTTTTTAAATCACATAAGACTATACTATAACATCGACTGAGATAAATAATAAAGTGAAATATTAAAATCAAAATATTGTACGAGTACCCTTCTAGTAATTAATTATAACAAAATTATTTTTTAAGTTAGGGGTACTAAAGTAATGTTATACTTATCGTTGAAGTTTGTTACCTTATCACGTGTATCTTGAAGATTATTTTTTTTAATCAAGATTAGAAACTAATGATCACTACTTTATTTTATTCTAAAATAAATATTTATAATAAAAACATTATATAATTTAAAACACTTTTTAATCAAGAGAAGGACAAATATCTCTCAATCTCATAATTAAGGGTAGTTAAAGAAAGTAGACATTTGTTTTTAAAACTAAGGGGCCGTTTACCAAATACTTACCCGGTAAGCGTTTATCGATAAATTTAACACTATCATTTACTTATCGGATAAGATTTTTGTTCACCAAAACGGTATCGTATGCAACAATTTACCCTGTAAGAGTCGTCGCATTCACTTACCGGGTAAGACTCTTGGTCCTTGTCTCACTCTTACCGGGTAAGATTCTTGATCTTTACCATATTCATCCGATAAGGTAAAATGACTTGGTATTCACTTACCCGAGTAAGCGTTTGGTAAACGGCCCCTAAACATTTATTTTAAGACAAATTAAAATAACAACGTAGACAAATTAAGGTTTTTTAATGCTACGCCTTCAACCACTCGGCCATCTCTCCTACATAATGATTATGGATTGGTGTGGTTCCTCTACGCTTAAGACACCAGAATATCGAACTATGAACGAACAAAGACATGAGTTTGTTATACATTGGATCTCACCTGAATCGCCCTTCCCACTACATGGGAGCTTACGGTTTCATATTCTATTTCACTCCCCGATACGAGTTCTTTTCACCCTGGTTTTCTACATTGGTAATAATTCAGAATGAAATGAGGGTGCCGAATTGTTAAAGCAGACCCAAGACATAAAATGATTCAGAGAATTTTAAAAATATTAATGGAAGTATAAGAAATAATCAAACAACCCTCTAGATTTTAACATCACATCTTATTAATAATATATATACTACCTTATAAACCAGATTTATCAAAAGTCTTAAAAACAATTTTTAACGCACAAAGTACAATACATTTATGCACAAAATCTTAAAAACAACTCATAATGCATTAAGTATTACTACTTTATGCATTAAGTCTTAAAATCTCTTAATCTACAATTAAAATAATATATAGTGCAAGTTATCAATGCACATTATTATCTTTTTTTTCATGTTCCCAAAATACTTTTAACATATTTCATTAATGCATTCACCATTTTATACCTCTATGTCGTCTCCTCATCCCCCAAGGTGAGATTCAAACTGATATTCACCATAAGTTATTAAAAGTTCTCTCATTCATTTTCTATTCAATTGTTCTATAACTCTCGGTCTCGCTATTAGTCTCTTGATTCTTTGCTCTTGGTGTAAATCGAACACATTTGTAAAGTCGTTTAAATATGTTGAATTTTAAATATATTGTATTTTAAACTGTCATATAATTTTTTTTATCGATAGACTGTAATTTGAACTATAACTCTTAATTATTCAAATTGTATTAATATATAAAGACCAAATGTAACTTATATCATCATTAAATCTTCTCCAATAAAACCAGTAAAACTTCGAAATCATTAAAATTCATGACACTCTATTGTTTATAAAAAAATAACCGTAAAGATATGAACGCATTGTAACGACTTTGGCTGGCATTGACTTCCTGTGGAGCCTATAAAAGCAATAAATGGGAGCTACAAGCAAGCTACCCATGATCATATTATAATAAGCTCTCCAACAACATTCATCTAGCAACCAGAAAAGCTTTAATCTGTACTAGTGGTGCTCTCAGAAGCTGCGGAGATGGAAATAGTGGTGGAGGTGCGGTCACCGGAGATGGATACCGGCGTGGAAGATGCGGTGGAAGCTTGCGGATTGCAAGCTCGGAGGAAACCACGACTTCAATACTCCGGTCCTGCTATTGTTCATGGACTCACAAAGGGAGACAACGGCGGCGGAGAACCATCGGAAAACGCCACCTACTTACACCAAAATGGAGGTATGTATATAGAAATTGCAGTTTCGAATTAAAAAAATTCGTTTATCACCTTGCATGGAGGTTAATTTCCTGAAAAAATCCAGGAGCAATCAAAGATTTGGATATTCATAAGATTCAGAATCCCGGTAAGTATGATGCGATCAACTCTGGAATCACCGAAACCGCCAGTGCTAGCAGCGAAGAAACTGGAGAAAGCTTGAGATCTGAACTAACTGAAGAAGACATCGTGGAGGAGGAAGTAGTAGAGTTGGAATTCGATAAGGCGATATCGAAGCTCCATACGCACAGGATGCACTGCCCTAATTGTGATGCTCAGATCACCAAAGTAGTTCTTCGTCGGAAAATAACGAGAAGGCCACGGCCTCCGATCGACGAACCAGAAAAGCCAATCGATCTGCTTGGATGCTTATCGTGCTTCAGCTTGTTCACATCCGCAGGTGATATTTAGATCTATATTTTGAAATTGATTTGATTACTCTTCGTAATTTTTTCATATGAACCACGGTGATTAGAAAGACATTAAACCCTAATTTTGACTCTTTAGAACTGACACATGAAATTGAAATCTGTTCAGGAAATCCGTTTTCAATTTTCCGGGATAAACCACGTGTGAATGCAGTTCCACAACCTGATGGAAACGAAGAGGAAATCGAATCTGGTGAGAATGGTAATTCATGAATTAATTCTCTAAAAACGCAAACTCGTCTTTAATATCTTTGTGAAATAGAATACAAGGTAGTGTTTGATTGGTTTGAGTTTGGCTCAAAAGGTCAAAAGTACCTTAAAGTCTCAGGTTCAAATTCAAGGAGTAATAAAAAAAAATTATGGCCACAAAGGTTCAAATGCGGTAATTCCGGCTATCTGCAAAATAGGTGACCATCCTGAGATTAATCAGCTCGCATAACAAGTTGGATATCAAAAACAAAATAAAAATAGAACACATTTAAATGTGCAGCCTGCACCGAATAAACTCTAATGAGCCGAGGAGAGGTGTATAAGGATCAGGTTTTAGCTGGTCCTTACTCCTTAACCATTACTAAAAAAACCAGTTATTTTTAACGGAACCGGTCAAAAATTTAGGACCAAGTTCGGACTGATGGTCCTAAACGGTCATTTTGGGTTTTAAAAGAAATAACATATACATGTATAAAAGAAAGATGTGGACGATTAACTCTCTTTTTAAAACTCCTCGAATTTTCATTTACATGTAAATTAATTAACTGTAAGATATAAATATTAGAGGTTGTTTATTTAACTCTTAGTAATTCTATTAAGATGCACTCTCTGAATCGTTAAGAGGTGAATCTTGTTTGACAAAAAATAAATCTGCCTCTTAATTAATAGTTCTAAAACCCTCTGAATGGTTTTGTATCCAGGGTTTCCCTTAATCATTCAGCAGCCTAATTTTATTACAAACAATTATCAGACAATTATATTTCATTTTGCACTATATCATGAGAGACTTTTAATCATTCTGACCACTTAATCATTCTGTACCAAATCATTCAGTAACTGTCAAACAGTCACTTAGTTAAATTATGACATTATAAACTAATTAATTTGATTTTTTTACTTCTTAGATATTATTTATATTTTCAGTTTTAATTTATAAAATTTATGTAGTTTCTTTTTGAATTAATTTCACTAAAAATTAACAAATAATCATTTTGATATATTTTTTTAAAAAATTTAGTCATAATGAATGATCGGGTAATTTTAGGGCCTTAGATTGATTTTTAGGGTTTCAACCGGGTCTTCACCTAACTGGTTTTCAATTTACTAAGGACCGGTTTTTAAACTTTGTCCTTGACGATTTTAACCAGTTAAGGACCAGTCCCAGGTCCAAAATATAGGACCAAAATGTATGACCAAAACTGGTTTTCGTCTATAACCGGTCCTTGGGACGGGCCTTTTTTACGGGTCCTATTTTAGACAGATCCGTAGTCCTTAGGTTCTAAAATAAGTTAATCGGTCATTTGTATCTCTCTTTCATTCTTAGTATTCTGAAAACTGCGATTGGTTTTAAATGTAAGCAGGGAACTGTTTCAGCATCTTTCGAGTTTTTAGGAATGAACCCAACGTTCCGACCATACAAGATATGACGAAACCAGGTCTCCCTTCTCCTTCCCCCACCACGGATACCATATATGTTCCAAGCAAACCTTTGGGCGAACATCGTGGATCTTCGCTGGACGTTACACCAGAAAAACCCGAAACAAGTATCGAGATACCACCCGCCACCTCCCCTGCAATTGGAGCTCCTCAAACACAAGAACCGGTAGGACAAGATTCTACATCTTTTGAGATCTTGAAGAGCGTAGTCTATGGAGGTTTAATGGAGGTGATTGCAAGTTTAAGTGTTGTAGCATCTGCCGTTGCTGCTGATGCCGCCACTCGTAAGCTTTTCTTTGAACCACTTTTATTCATTAGTCGTGTCATTGGTTTGTTGTATTAGGGCCGAAAACAAGGCTAATGAGTTTTATACAACCTTGTGGGGTTCAATTCAACTGCGATTAGGGTTCTTACAGGTTCGAGTCTTGCAAAGCCACTTAGGATGATCCTGATTGTAATGCCAAGGTCTCTTAATTAGTCGAGATGCACGCAAACTAACCAAAATACCTACAATTAACAAAAAATATGAGTTTTACTAGACAACATAATAGAGCGTTTTTATTAGACTGCTATATTAAAAAATGTACCATAAAAAGCCTAATAAGATGATCTATTTCTTGTGTATTTTTAGATCGCCAAAATTATTAGATATAACTTGTTAGGTTGCTTAACTTTGTCGTAACAACTTATTGTAACGTCATTATATAAGACGCATAGTTGTTGGTCCAAAAACTTATAAGTCTCGTTAAATACTCTATTAAATTGCCTAAGAACAATTGGGCGTCTTAAAAGAGACCCATTTTACTGTAGTGCCATTGTTGCGATCCCCATCTCACGCTCATACAACACGGAATCGTTGAAGTTAAAAAAAGCTTTTTATTGACGTTTTTTTTGTTGAGTTTTTGCAGTGACCATCGTAGCGTTGGCGATTGCAAATCTAATTGGCGGGATCTTTGTCATCGGCCATAATGTGAGTAGCCGAAACACTTAAAACCTTGTGCATCTTAATTTCGACTCGTTTGACCACAAAAATCGAACTTATTTGATTGAAATACAGCTTTGGGACTTAAAAGATGACTGCTACAAATTCTCGACACAACAAATAACTCGTAACAAGTACAAAGAGTTACTAGGACGGGTCGAGCATTTCCCACTACACGTGTTCTTTGCGATACTATCCTTCTTTGTGTTCGGGATCATCCCTCCTGTCGTCTACGGATACTCATTTCACGAGACCAACGATAAGGATTTCACCATCGTGGTGGTTGCAGCCGCGTCTCTCGTGTGTGTCGGTTTACTAGCGATATTCAAGGCATACGTTGATAGATGCACTAGGTTCCTCGGATACGTGAAGACGATTGCATACTACTTGACTACAACAATTGCGGTCTCGGGTATTTCTTATGTGGTTGGAAATCTAGTAACGAGGTTGATTGAGGATCTCGGGTTGTTTGAGACGATCCCCGGTGTGGCTATGTCGCTCCTTCCCGAAACAAACCCATCTTTGGCATATTACTGATGCCTTATTATCAATGGTACAAGTCTCCTTAGGCCAATAGATTTTTATCTCTAGAGACCTATGAGATTAGTCAAGATGTGCACAAGCAGACCCGGACACTCTGTTACAAAAAGATGTTGTATTCATTTACTTTGTCGTTTGCGTACTTTTGGTTTTGTTTTCGTCGGCTGGGGGTAGATCATTTGTATGTTGTTATATTAAATGAATCACCAGTTATGAATTTGCATCTCTTCCAATTGCTTGAGTGATCCTTATTCGAAGCCTTAGCGTGTTCCTAAAGAGCTGTTTGCTTACCGGGTAACTTTAACTTATCAAATTAACATGACAAGGATTGAGAATCTTACCATGTAAGAACGATGACAAAGACCAAGAGTCTTACCCCGTAAGTGGGGGAGTATTGATGCATATTATTTAAAATTAAAGATTACAAATAAATTATACATAAATACTAACTTATTAAAATCGAGATACATCTCGATGCATTGCACGAATACCTTCTAGTAATTTACGAATATATGAACATGTTAGGCTAAAAAATACATACGCTCGTAACGCATTGGATTAACTCAAAAATTTAATCAAGCTTTCAAACAAGGTGTCTAACATTGGCATTATGAAACTTCTTTTGTTAAGTTAAACAAACTCTCTTCTGTTCTCAAGTTCGAATCCGAGAATAATCCATTTTTACATACAGATGGTTTCAATCCCTATGGCTAAAATTCTACGTCACAGAATCCAACATTCGATTAGCCTAATTACATTGTATATATTAGCTATTGGCAAGACGGCAAACGAGTAAAAAAGAACATAACTCGAACATAATCGAACCATACTTGTGTACAAAAGACCAACGGTTGGGATCTTCGAGTAAATCACTGGTTCGGTCCATCAAAGTTCAGAAAGAAAAAAAACAAACGGCAGTGCCCTAGATGTCAATCGGAACCCACATCTACTCCTTTGCGCTTCAAGAATTGCTTCACCTCAATTACGTCCTGCAAATTTGACCACAAGAAGTTTATACAGGAGATACTTCAAAGAAAGATGGATGCTACAGTTTAGAGTTTGTTTTCAAAGAACAAACACACAGAATGAGATGATTATAGAAGGAAAATAATGTACTATTTGAACCGCTTTTGAATCAAATCACAACACTAAAAATGTAAAACTGAGAAGTTTGATGCTGACATGTATGTGTGTGGAATTGATATGGGGTTTCAAATTATAGCACATACATGGGTTCATTTAGGGGCTGTTTGGTTGGTTTTTGTCCTGTATGGATAAAGATGTACGTGTGGATTAATGTCTATATAGGTTTTACCAAATCTGAACAGTTTATCCTGCCAACAGCTAACTTATCAACTAGTTTGCCAAATATAGCAAAACTTTATAACAAAGGTACCAACAAAAACATCATCAGGTGGAATATAAAATAGATTTCATAAGATAAAATACGTGAGCATAAGACCGAAGGAAACAAGAATTCCACTACTCTACTGGCAAAAAAATGAAATAACCTGCTGTAACAGGACTGCCTCTTGAGGACAAGTCGGAAATTGCATCAATCCAAACCCAACCATGAAAAGGCCATAGCATCCTAGTGATACGACCAAGTACAGAGGCAGCTGTTGAAATCAGAAAATTAAACAAGATTAGCTAAGGCAATGATTCCCGACAGTATGATACAGAAATCAAAGATTTAGAGCATCGACAGTAATATAGACTTTTTCATGGGAGCTTTTTTCTATTTTTTTCCCAAAAAAGTGGGACCCACAAGCAAAAAGACAAGTTCATTGAAAGGGAAATTGACAGTAATAGGCTAATTGCCATTTCAGCCAACCAAATTTACCTCTTAGCCATTCTCTCCCTGAATTTCCAAAAAGTCACTACCTCCACAAGTTCCTCAACTTGGGGAAGGGTCAAAAAGAGGGGAAAAATAAACATGGTAAAAGCAAGTACAGGAACCAAATCTGGGAATTAGTCTGGGTCTGCAAGTGACACTTTTGCAAGTTGAGGACATATTTAGACTAATTTACAGATTTGATCTTGTCCATGTTCAGAAATTTCTTTTTTCTTTTCACTTTTTGACCCCTTTGCAAGTTGAGGAGATACTACTTGAGAAGGTAGTGACATTTTGGAAATTTTGGGAGAAAAATGGCTAAGATGTAAATGTATCCGGCTGAAACAGCTACTTTTGTTAATTTCCCTTCATGAAATCTTGTAACTGTACACGCAAAAATAGGGGGTTTTCTTGTCAGGGGCTTTTAAACATGTCTAGGTGGCCAAAAAGCTCCATTGGAGGTGCTCGTATGATGAATCAACCGCAAGAAAACTAGGTGAAGAGACTCACCAACCAAGTATGACTCCGTGGAATCATTGCAGCCTGCAACAAACTTATCCATGTGGCAGTTATGGCCACCAAAAATGTCAAAATCTTCACGATATGTTTCATTTGATATTCACAAAAAAACAGGTTACTTCACAGTTCACGCTTGCAATAATGTAGTCTGCAACATCATAAGACTAGATTAATTACATGGTTTAATCCTGGACTTGCTAATCATCTTAGATTTACTATAGGGGATATGTCATGAAGTTTCTTTTAAAAATTGTATACGATCAAATAAAAATGCATTTCTTCAAGGTCATCTTGAAACACAATCTGTGGGTTAATCTTTATAGAAAAAGAATAACCATACCATAGCACACAAGCTAACAAAACATTACAAATGGGTAGAACTTATCTATAATTTCAATATGCAGAAGCAGGTTTAAGGATGAATTTTAGGAACCATTTCTATATCTATACAATTCAAAAGGTTCCATCACTTCCATGTATCTTAACATGATATTATAGTACCACCACCTAGAGGCTCGACGCACTCTTACAACTCCATGTTTGGGGGCACCATCTAGCCTTGGCATGTTAGTCCAAGGACAGCTAGACACGGAACATCAGAAACCTCTCTCTCTATATATATCGGTGCAGGTTCAAACAAGAACACCACCTTTTTCGGAAAAGTGAATCATGTGTTGTTTCACATTCTGAAACAATACATGTGAAATATAACTGTTGTTTCACATTGTTAAAAAGAAAATACTCATAAAGAGTTTCATATTGTCGTTTAAATCGTAGCATTAGATGAAAAAAATAATGTAAAACGGATTTGTAACCTTTTCTATAACCTCATTTCTTTAACTCTCTACAAAGGGATCATTTAGACATAGATGCAAACCACATATACCAATCTACACTGCATAAGCACAAAGTTACAAAATTTTAGGGTTCTTGCAAACTGCAATCAAGTGAATGCATCTCGACGAAAGGATCAAAAACCAAAAGCAACTCCAAGTAAAATTAAAATAATTTGGGGGAAAATGCAAACGAATCCATTAGATGAAGCCATCAGATGGGATATACCATTCAATTTTTTTCACGGTCCCTTTTCGATACACAAATGGGACTCAAAGCCCTTGCGCAATTTCCCAAACATCATATGGCAATTCAAACTTTATGCTATCACATTTTCATGAATTTGTATGATAAAAAACATACTTTCTGCAGAAATTACCGATTGAAAACAAGTCAGATACATACATGAGATGAAATTACATCCACCAATGATCAAGTCATCACAAACATCATCTGGCCGGATAAATCTATTGCCCCAAATAACCATTCAACACAATCAATGATCTCTATTACCTTTATATGACTAAATGTTTTGACGGTTAGGGTTTCTAAAACGGATCAACTTTGACGCCGATCTTATCGTTGTTCACTTGACATCGACGCCTCCATCTTCGAAGATCTAGAGAGTGTTTTCACTAGTCCTGTTGAGATGCTAGTCTCATTGGGTTTCACCTTGTAGAGCCGGCGCTTATGATCACGGCTCACCTAGGGTTTCTGGTGGTTATTTTTTCGGCTCGGCCCGGCCCGGCCCGGTGGGACCGATTGTGATTTTGTGACCGCTTACCGGGTCTATAATCGGTCTTAGGATTTTTGGATTACTGGCCCCATTTTTTTAAGGGATCAATTTGGGTTTGGACTAGAGATGCCAAAAATCGGTCCCGGGTCAGGCCTTAACCGGTTATGGCCGGTTCTAATTGCGACAAAAACCGCTTATAACCGGTCCCTCTATAACCGGTCCCGGTCCCGATGAAAAACTCTATAAAAACGGTCAAGCTTTCCCATAACCGGTTAAGCCGGCCGGTCCCGGTTCCGGTCCCATAACCGGTTACGGCCGGTCCTTTGAAAAAAAATATTTTTTTTTATTTTTTTTTATTTTTTTGGTAATTAATAAATTTATAATATGTTATTAATATCTTTGAAATATGTTATTTTTAATATGTTTTATTATAAATATGTTTTATTATAAATACGTTTTGTTATATATTATATATACACGTTTAATTTTATAAATACGTTTTGTTATATAAGTTTAATTTTATAAATACGTTTTGTTATATACATTTAAGAATACACTTTATAAATACGGTTTAATTTTATAAATACGTTTTGTTATATACGTTTA